CCTTGTTTAATAAATCACTTGCTGTTTAGAAGACAAAGGCCAACACACAATGAACACGTGGTGGCTCAGAGCACAGACAATCTTTACAGTTCTGGATTAGTTAAGGGATTTTAGAACAATCAAAACAACATTTCAGATGTTTTACAATGTTCTCAGCCTGCTGATGTGTGCACTCACACACATATTAATAATCACATGATCTCTTATAACAAAATCAGACCCCAGCTGTCTCTGGGGCAGTACCTTTTTAAAAGATACACATTTGTACCCAAAGAGTCCACAATGGTACCCTCAAAGGTGTATATTAGTGCCCAAATGTACCTAAAAAGTACTTTTGAGGTACCATTATTGAACCTTCAGGTGCAAATATGTACCTTTTGACAAGGTACTGCCCCAGAGACAGCTCCTGTACCTTTATTTCTGAGAGTGAGCAAAGCATTTTTGTGTGTAAACTAGTTAAATTTAACTAAAAACTAGATGCAAATGAGAAAAAAAAGGTGTTTTATATTTTTTTCGGCATGTCTCGAATGTAATCGGATGCAAATATTGAAAAAGCGAATGTAAAATGACACTATATCGGTTATTTACTATATAAAGGAAATGTTCTTAATATTTATTAATGCTATGTTTTTACACCTATTTTTTTGTTTCTTGCCTAACTCTTGCCTAAACTCACCTGGTATGTTTAACAAACACATGTCAATTCCACAATGTTTAAACGTCGCAGTCAATCTACAAATTACATGCCTTCAAAACTGTGGCTCCTAGTTGGCTGTAATCATATATGACATTAAAGATGTAGCGATGGGGCTATTGTACCTACTGTATGTGTACATTGCGATCTCCATGTTGAAACAATACATTGTGCAACCCTAATTATAATCCTAAAACCATATGACAGTGATTATTGGAATCACGACAAACCCCTGATTTTTCTGCTCAGGTTTTAGTATGTTAATGGGACAGCCACCGACGGGAATCTATCAGTCCAGGGCAGAAACAAAACTCTCTTTTAGTCTCAGGTATGCAGACAGTAAGATAAAGAACAGTCCAACCCCTACAAACATCCTACGAGTGACTGGAATGCTGAAACTATGATGTCACAGGTGGAGGAGTCCAGACAGTGTTTTGTCGTGGCGTGTAGAGCCCATGGCGGTGAGGAGGGGGGCCAACCACACCTTTTAGGTAAATGTGTCTCCCTGTAATGACAGGTAATCCTGCCGGTATTTTTAGCTCAGCGATGGGAGGAGGCCTTGACATGTGTGTGACGGTAAGGATTTGTGTTTCCATTTACGCACCGAACAAGCAACGAAACAAAAAGTGGCTTGTATAGAGGGGTGAATCAGAGACAGGAACAAGTGCTCTAGAGATAAATGACAGGCTGACAAAGACCCTTTCAACACTGAAACCGCTCTCTGTTTGCTCCACCTCACTCGTGGCGGCTTTCTTCTCCTGGACTCATGACAGCTGGCTTTAGTCATCAGGCACCTCAAAAGACCTCAAGAGCTTTACAAACGTGCTGTCCAATCACAAGACTCATCACATACCGCCGCATGAGTGTTAGTATAATAGGTCACATGATGAATACTACTAATCAAAATGACCACACTCGTGTATCTAGATTACTTGCCTAACTTAGAAACAGTAACTTTAACAGATTTGTTCAAATGAAAGAGATCGTTCACCCCAAAAAACTCAAACATTTATGATTTTCGTTTTTTTTATTGAATACAAAAGAAGAAATTTTGAAGAATGCTGGTTGCTGGCACTCATTAACTTCTGTTTCTGTGGGAGCCAATGAGTGCCAGGTATTAGCATCCTTCAAAATATCTGCTTTTGTGTTCAACGAAAAAAAACAACAACAAGTAAGTAAATGATGACTGAATTTGTATTTTGGGTGAATTATAGATTTAATAACATTAGTGAACTAACAATGCAAAAAGGTTGCGTTTCCTCTAGTGCATTTTCTTTTTTAAAATGGTATTTTATAATTAAAACTCATGTCCAGACTGGCGTTTTACTGCGTTTCAGAGAAGTGGTCTCAGTTAGCACTTTAAAGCCTAAAAAATACGATAGATTATTATTTATACTTACTGGTTATAACCGCACAGTCTACTCGTTGCGTAATGGTCATGGAACAACTCTGGATAGCCATGCGTCCCTTTTTAAAGTCTTGTGTTTCAGACTTTCTAAACTAAAATGACAGTTCTACAATAGCAGTTCCAAATTTGAACAGGTTTTTTTTTCTTCAGGTTGAAGATTCAGAATAGTATGGATGCCATGCATAATAAAATTAAATAAGCATAGGTAGTTCACATGCAGAATAGTTGGTTACCATTGACTTTTACTTACACTTAATGGTCACCATTGGCATCCATGGTATTTTTTCCCTACTATGGAAGTCAATGTTGACCATTAACTGTTTGGAAACCAACAATAAATAAACCAATAAAATAATAATATATAATAATATAAACACATTTCTGTTTTGAAACTCATACAGTTAACAAGTAGATAATAATGTGTTAATAATGACTAAATTTTAGCTGGAAGTAAACTACTCCTTTAATTTAGCATTTCTAAAAAAAATTATACTTAAATATTTAATAACATTTTATAATAGTGTAACAAATCTATTACTGTACAAACTAAGTCAGTTTTTTAATTATATTTCATCATAAAAATTGTGTTTTTGCATGCTGACAACATATAAATATACATATATATATATATATATATATATATATATATATATATATATATATATATATATATATATATAAAATAAATGAACGTTACATTTTTGAGCTTCAAAGGGTTTGAAATGATTTTTTTTTACATAAGCAAGTGATTTAAGTGAGTCATTTAACCCTCTCTCTACGTCAGGGTGACGACAGACCGACAAACCACAACCATTTCTGTCAAGGATATTAACAATCATTAAACTGAACTGGCATCACCACATGCGCAGCTGATACTGGGTTGTTACGCATTCTTCTGTACGCTGTGAATTTGGGTCCCTCCTCCTTCGTGCCTCAAATTCCATAACAAACCGCATGTCATTCATTTGCTTTGAGAGGGAATCCGCATTTGCGCTTTGAAGGGCTAATTTACAGTCTTATTTTATGCTGCACCTTTTTCAGAGGCCTACATATGGGGGGCGAAAAGCTAAAGTTGCCTAAATGAACAACACATAAAATTAGCAAGTCAAAAATACATCAGTAAAACATTCAGCTCTAAGTATTAAGGTGGACTGGACAGTCGGCTCTTGGATGCAGGCCCTTCCAAGACCCACTGTAAAAAAAAAACTTGACTGCTTAAAGGCTTGGGACCACTTGAGGGTGAGTAAACAGTGTGTAAATTTTCCTTTTTGGGTGAGCTATTCCTTTTATAAAACATGATTTAATGACATGAAATAACCTCTTACCATACAACTCCACATACAGATAAACACACATTCTGTAAGTCTTGATTTTGTTAGATTTGTACTTGAAAGGATAAAACATAATTTTAAGTCTTAAGGTCTCATAAGGTAAAGCAATTTTACAGTGAATGAAGATGAACTGATTAAGATGCTCTTGTTTGTGGAAGATCACTATCAGGTAGAACTTGCTCTTTTAAGCCAACAACTGCACTTTTTTTGCGTTTCATGCAGACAGGTTTTACTTTTTGCAGTTTTAAATCATTACATCACGTCAGTGTAACTGTAAATAAATACTTTATAAATGGGAGAGTGTTTAAATCTTAAAGATACAGTTCGAGTTTACTCAAAAATGTGAAGTCTGTCATCATTTACTCATGCTCTACTGATAAAAACTAGTTTGAGTTTTTTTTCTTGTTCTATTGAACTCAAAAGAAGATATTTTGAAGAGTGTTAGAAACCTGTAACTATTGACTTCCATAGTGTTTTTTTTCTACTGAAATTCAGTGGTTACCGGTTTTCAACATTCTTCAAAATATCTTCTTCTGTGTTCAACAGAAGAAAGAAACCAAAACAGGTTTGGAGCAAAGTGGAGGGTGAGTAAATGATGACAGACTTTAAATTTTTAGGTGAACTATTGCTTTAAGTGTCAATAAAGCATATGGCAAGTTAGTAACACTTTACAATGAGTTTTATTTTATATATATCTAACTCTAGAACTAACAAAGAATTTCATCTTTTTGTTAAATGTGAGTTATCTAAACATGCATTGCACATAAAATGGTATGTGCAGTGCTACTTTTAATGACACTTCTACTTGATTGAGGAAAAGTTGGTTTTATATCCACACATTAGTTCATTTTTGAACAGTGACAATCATGCCATGCTCAATATCTCGTTTACATCCACGCTACTTTGAATATTAGGTCTGAAGTTGCTTGTAAGAATGACTTCAAAACAACATTAGCATGATTTAATTGACTGTAAACAATGTTGTACTTGATAGTCATTGGTTTATAATATGATTCCACTATTTAGAATTTGCAAATAACACTTCCCAAGTACTGGATTGCTGACTGGAAGGGCATCCGCTGCGTAAAACATATGTCGGAATAGTTGTCGGTTCATTTCGCTGAGGCGACCCTTGATAAATAAAGGACTAAGCCAGAAGGAAAATTAATGAATGAAATAATGTTTCTGAAATGATATTATTGAGATGAAAGTCTGAATGTGCCAATATTAAATAAACTCTTCCTCAATTTCTAATTATTGAGGTAAAGTTTTTATATTCACACATTCTGACTTTCTCCTCAATATTATATTTTTTAGAAAAGCATTCTTTGCAAATTGCAAACTGGTAAATCATATTAACAGCCAAAGACTGTCAATGCACAACATTGTTTACAGTCAATTAAATACTGCTAGTGTTGTTTTGATACTTGCATGCTATTTTTGACTGAATATTCAAAGCAGCATGGTAAACAATACAGGGGCCGTGTCACAAGTTGTCACTCAACGAATGTGTGAATATAAAACCAACTTTACCTCAATTTTCTACTTGGCCTTTGAGGGCCATTACCTTCCAGCCGGCTGAGCTGTTGCTGTCTCCCTTGTCTTTGAAGTAAGGCACGCTCTTCACCATCCACTCGTAGATCTGCGACAGGGTGAGCCGCTTCTCAGGGGAGCTCTCGATCGCCTTGGTGATGAGATCAGCATATGACATATTCCCCCATGCGTTTCTACGAGACGAGCTGCTCTTCCTCTGGGCCGCAGCGGGGCTGGAGCCGCTGGCCGGGGCGGGGAGCGGCGGCACCTGTTGCGGGTGCGTCAGCTGGGGATTCGGCTGCTGGGGATGCTGTTGCTGGGGATGCGCGCAGTTGTCCTGGCAGTGGAAGTCGTTTAAAAGCACAGGCTTCTCGTCAGGGTAGTCCTCGGTCTCTTCTAGTAAACTTAGACTGTTGATAAAGTCCACGATTCCTTGCTCCGGTTTGACGGACGGTGCCGGAGAGGACGTGTTCGAGTTGCCCGGCTGCTCGCTGAACTCCGGTCGGTGCAGCGGCCAGGTGCATGAGCGCGGCCGAGAGAGAGGCTCAAAATCCGGGTCGATGTCAACCAGCTGTTGCTGCGGTTCTGCCATCACCAAAAAAAATCAAAGCCAAATCAGCTGAGTATCCTTAAACTAATGATAAGTTCAGGTTTAAGTGTAGTTTATTAACACTAATAGTAATAATTGCACATGATCGGATCTGACTTGCAACTCAAGAGATGAGTGACTGGTTTCATGCCTACCGCGGTTTTCAGTGAAATGCCAGTTATGAAGCGCGCTCAGGGTGCAGCGTGTTTTAGAGTAGAGTGATCTGGCCACGCCCACACACAGAGTGACGTACGAGAGAGCCAATCACAAGCGCCTATTCAAAAGGTAAACAGAGATTACGTTTGCATAACCCACGCTATACTCTAGTTTATCCTTGTTATGGCAAGCTCTTTTAACATTTTTTTTTCGTTATGATCAATTTTGTTACTCTATTTACCAGTGAGCCAAAAAAGTGATTAGCATGAGGACAAATACAAAAAGTAGGCTAGTTTCAGTTTCAACAGCAGACTAAAGATGTCATTTGCTCATTATAAATAATCAAGCAGCAGATTTGTGGTTTGTGGCGCATTGATTGTTTGAGATCTTTAAAGCAGGATGAAAACTAATTGGCTGTCAATATAATTAGTTTATTTTAATACTCTGATTCATTTAATATAATACCCTACTGTTTATCTAATAGTTGTGGGAGTGCGCTTTGTTATTCTTTTATAGCTACTGTATAAATGTTTTGTGTATCTTTGTGTCTTTGTATCATTCTTTATACTGTCCTTGATGTGAATGACGGCGTAAGGTTCATAAGACGTCAGTTACCAGTACTTTAAGGCACATTATCTCTTCCAGTGGTACCCAGAAGCATTTCTTAAAGGGGTAGTTCACCCAAAAAAATTAACATTTACTCATTATTTACTTGCCATCAAGTGGTTCCAAATCTTTAATCTTTTCTTTCTTCCGTAAAACACTAAAGAAGATATTTTGAAGAAAGCTGAAAACCTGTAACTATTGACCTTTATAGGAAAAACAAACATGGAATGGATACACGTTATCAGCTATCTTCCGAAACAAAAAAATCTATATTGTGTTCAAAAGAAGAATGTCAGAATTTTCAGTTTTCAGTGAATTATCCCTTTAACTCAATAAGAAGTAATAGTTTATGATTCAGAATAGTCTATTTGTCATATTTAACTCAATCAATATTTAGTTACTAGAAAAAGCACTATCCCTACCTACTAAAAAGCTTTTGATGAAATTAAAAATATGCTAGATTCTTTGAGTATTATATTTATACGAGTATCAAATATAAATATTGGTTAAAATGGCTTGCCTTATACTTTCAGTTAAACGGGATTTACAAAGGATTATGAGTGCCAGGAAAGAATTTGACCACACAGTTTAGCTTTCTATTCACCTTTTTCGTTGTCTAATATCAAATAATCACCAGTTTAATATATTTTGTTAATAGGCTTTAAAAAGCGGCCTTTTTATCAAGATTTAAGAGGCCGAGTGCACTTGGATTTAGAAACCATTTGGCACTTAATCTGCCTGTCAAACAGTCTATATATCTTGTTGGACCCGGCTTCCTTAGTTTGTACTATAATGCTTTATGTTTTAAGCATTCAGTGACGTGTGGAAAAAAAAATGTTAGTATTTGTGCTGACAAAATTATGCTCACTAGAGGGAGACATTAGACAATACATTCAGTGACACAAAGACCAAAAAAGTGTCAATAAACAAGTGAACAAAAATATTATACTTTTTTTTAGTCTTAAACAAAAAAAAAAAAAAAAACATATACATTATATGGGTTGGTAATTTCTTATTAATTATGACTTTTCCTATTTTTTCTTTCCTTTTATTATTGCACTACTGTTATGTCATTGCTTTTGTATGTTCATTGTTATACACATTTTAATAATAATAATACAAAAAACAAATTCAGAGGTAACACATAACTTTTTAAGCGAGACAGTGACAATGTTTTTAGCATTAGCAATACTCTTTCAGAAAGTATGAAGGTTTAATTTGATATCACATGGTTACTAAAGAGGAATCTCATAATGACTGATATATAATTAATATTAAAGTCAAAATATAATATGTTAATAATGAAATGTTTATAAATGTTAACATTTAGCTATTTTAAATAATTCTGTGCTTTTCAAATCAATACAAATTTATTTGTGATCCATCATATTTAAATTATTAGATAGTCGAAGAATTATACAATATTTTTAATCTTTACAGAAAAAAATTATAGGAGGGAGTAATAGACATTATTTTTGCCTTGATTTTGTGAAACTGCATTATCCAGTGTATCATAGACAGTTTAAATAAAAATAATCATGATAAAATAAATAAAAATAAAAATAATCATGCATTTGTCAAATTTAATTATTTTGTAAAATAAACCAAAAATCAACCCTAAAACCTGATTCCAAATATCATCAGAGAATTTACAAGTAAAAAATAGATGTAAAAGACTTTCAGGCTTAGTTTTCCAAAAAGAAGGATGTGGTGAAAAGTCTTTTTAAAATTTATTAATAAACATATTGCAGGGACTGTGTAATATTTAGAAATTAATTTATTTTACCTCATTTGGGAGTAAAAACGTATTACTTGTTGACCAAATATCATCTATAAAAGGTAAAGAAAAATTTTGTTTCCATTTCAACATGGCTTTTAGGAAACAACTATCTTGAATAAGACATTTTCTGAAGTAGAAGTTATTACACAAAATACTGATACCACCAAGTACAGTTTTTTTTGGAATTTGCTTTAAGATAATGCTTTTTACAATCAAATTATAATCATCATGCAAAAAAAAAGAAAAAGAAAAAAACAATCCCTGAAGAAGAAAGATTTTCTTGATAACTATAAATCTCATCACTGCTATTTAGAAAATCTGAAACAAAAATAATTCCCTTGTCAAACCAATCTTTTTTAAATATCCTTTTGTGTTAATGCAACACCTGTTGGTTATTTTATTGAATGCACATATGTAAAGAAAAGTTATGTTTAATTTTTTCCATGCTTCTAATGATTGCTTTATAATTTAATGGGAAGTTTATTACGTTTGTAGTCACAAGAAAGCAAAAAGTTTAATCCACCGCATTTTTCAAAGAAAAGATTTGGAATATACAACCATAGTGAATTACTTTGGGGAAGGTTTTATCCAATTAATTGAAAAAATATATTAGTAGTTGTAAAATCAAGAACATTGAGTCCACAATCATCTGAGACATCAGAATGATGAATTGTCCTAAAATCAATCACCCCTAACGTTACGTAGGCTACAGTTGCCATTATCTTCATTTAATTTCGATCTGACGCTCAAGACTTTTATTTTGAAAACATTATGACGTGGACTACCCGGTAGTAAAATTATTTCTGAAGCTTGTGCCTGTTTTTACATTGCTGGAAAATCCTCCGCAGGTATTAATTCAGTCGCCGTATGAAGAATTAGCCCACGTTTGCTTGTAAGCAGCATATTATAAAGGCGCATGCATCGCTGCAGATCGCTAGTGAAGAAGACGGGATTGTAACGTTATATTGATGTGGAATTGGACCAGGTGTTAGAATTCAAAAGCAGTCCAATCCAGCACAAGTGTCGGGATGAGCTTCTTCAGTTTCGGACAAAGTGCTGAGATTGACATAGTTCTGAATGATGCCGAGACGAGAAAAAAGGCCGAGCACAAAACAGAGGATGGGAAAAAAGACAAATACTTTCTGTTTTACGACGGAGAGACTGTCTCGGGGAAAGTAAACGTAACACTGAAGACCCCAGGAAAGAGGCTCGAGCATCAGGGCATCAAAATAGAGTTCATCGGGCAAATCGGTAAGTGCGAGCGATGCTTGTGACGTATTTGTGTTTTAATGTGACCGCGCGACACATTTCAAGATTTATATCAGTGTATGTTTGCAGGTATGTTGCCAATTTTGTTTTAATAAATAGTATGCGGACTGAATCATCGAACATGCAGAAGTGTCACATTTCATTCAGTTAGTCTCGTGACATATGACACATTAACGATGTTTGATTCGTGAATGAGTTGTTCTTTTAAGATGGTCAATTTGAGTGAATCGAACGAACCGGTCTCATTTTGATTCCTTCAATTAAGACTAACTCGTTAACAAATAACAAGAGGAGGTAGTTTCAGGTATGCTTTTCTGAAGTCAACTTATCGACCTGTTGATTCTCAAACAAGTCGAGCACTAGTGAGTGAAGTGAAAAGTTTAATAGTCTAATAGTACAAATGAGAACATGAAATGTTTGCCTATGACTTAACGTTACATGATCTAAACACATACGTTGTTGGTATTAGTATTGCGAATTATGTTCTGAGTATGCAACAATTAAAGTGAGACAAGTAATTAAGAATAAACTCACTTATACACGAATACAGCATAATTAACAGATATGCACTACCGCTATACTTACTAAAGATTCACTGAATCGTTTCCAGCCTGTTCTGTAAAACGAATGTTCAAAAGAATCGGTTCTCTTAGATGAGTCTCCCTAGTAAATCTCTAGTAAAATCAAAATATGGGATAATAGGTTTTAAACATAAGTTATAGTGTTTCATTAAAGCTTGTTACTCCCTGTCCTAAATTAGGACTCTATTAAAAGTTATACATTATGTATCACCAAGACTACACTTAGTCTTGTTAAATTCTTTAGATCTCTATAGTTTTATTAATTGTACCTTTAAAAGGAAAGTTTTAAATAAAGATCAATCACCCTCATGTTTTTTTTTTTTTTCAAATGTCCAAAGCGTTAAAGAACTGATCTCAATTGAAAGAATGCAACAAAATATGCAAACGTATTAAGAAATCATGTCAAAACTTGTGCATGTACTAATGTTGTTCTATTGTGTAACTTATTTTCCCCTAGAATTGTACTACGACAGAGGAAACCATCATGAGTTTGTCTCTCTGGTAAAGGATTTAGCTCGGCCTGGAGAAATGGCTCAGTCGCAGACTTTTGATTTTGAGTTCACGCATGTGGAGAAACCGTATGAGTCCTACACAGGCCAGAATGTAAAACTACGGTATGTGCTCCTGACATTGTGTAGTTCAGTAGACTGTATTTGTGAGCTCCCACTAGGCATGCTGCATGCACAATAGCTAATTTCAGCATCAAAATTGCAGTGCGTGCCATATAAAATAAATGTTTATTCACTGTGCTTTTTAAGACCTCTGACTGTATTTGAAGAGTTCCCATAAGAGCCTTTTACCATTTATACAATAAAGTCTATACAGTGTTATTTCAGTTCCATACCTGAATACTGTTAGACTCCCAAGATATCCAAAACGCTGTTTATTCATTCTATTGTTTTTATCTTAGCTTGATATTGTTTTACAAAATTTTATACATGATATACTCCCCTGAAAATCACCCAATCAGTCTAAATGAATTAAAGTTGAAGTCGTCTGGTGGAACTTTATTCATACGGCAAAAAACAAAACATCGGAATGTAAATCTAAATATCCCACAATATTTTCTACACTTGGATGATACGTAAAGTCCTTTCTAAATCTGTTTGTTTCAGCTATTTCCTGCGGGCTACCGTCAGCCGGAGACTGAATGACATCTGTAAAGAGATGGACATCGTTGTGCACACACTCAGCACATATCCAGAGCTCAACTCCTCCATTAAGATGGAGGTGGGAATTGAGGACTGTCTGCACATCGAGTTCGAATACAACAAGTCCAAGTAAGTCTGAAAAACAGCCAGAGGAGTGGTGTTTTTTATTGCTTGGATCAAGCAATAAATTTCATTGCTTGAAATTGAATCTAGCTGTTTTTAAGAGTTGATATAATTTTGGATAAATTGCTTGAAAATGTCATTTAAGGTCCCGGTGTAAACTATGTAGGGATCGGGCTTTTGCTGTTATCACCCTAAAACTCTAGAAGGGGCTTCCACCCCACATTAGACGCACTCCAGCTCATTCTGTTTTTAAAAAGCTTCTGAAATTGCATCTTTGTTCTTTACCATTTGATGTCTTTTTAATGTTAAGGGGTTTGCCTTCTGTTTTAATTATTATGTATGTGATGTAGGACTTATTTTAATTTGTATTGATTACTTTCAGCACTTTGGGCAATGTTTTGCTGTAAAAAATGTGCTATAAAAATAAACTAACTAATTGTGTTGCTTTTAAAATTTATGCTGCTACATAGGCAATAATAATTAATAATAATAGTTATTAATAATAATTAACAATCTTTTTATCTGCACCCTTTGCTTAAACAGTGGGAGTAGACAAAACGCATGAATCTTACTGCTTATTGACCAATGTGAACAATGCATGAAATTAAAATAAATATAAACTTAAGATGAAAAATGACACGTATGTATGTGAGTAATTGTTATTTTAAGAGAGTAAATGACTATTTCAATGTGAAGCTTAGAGCAAACATCCCATAAAAATCCTTTGATTACTATACTGTTGATTATTATTTATATATCTTTATTATTATAACAAATAGCATTTGATATATGATTAATATTCTAGACGCACAGTTGAAGTGAGAATTATTAGCCCTCCTATAAATTGTTTTCTCTTTTAAATATTTCCCAAATGATGTTTAACAGAGCAAGACAATTGTTACTGTATTTCCTATAATATTTTATCTTCTGCAGAAAGTCTTATTTGTTTTATTTTTTGACTAGAATAAAAGAAGTTTTACATTTAAAAAAAAAATAAAATTCTAAATAAAAGTCTTTTTAGGATAAAAGATCATTCAGACTTGGATGATAAATAAAACGGAAATAATTAATGATTTCTTGTGCAGCCCAGTACCTATTGATCGGTCCGCAGCCTGGTGGTTGGACCACTGGTCTACAAAAAAAACATCATTTTACAATGACTTGTCTAATTACAATAAATCACCTAATTAAACTATTGTGTTTCAAAATGTGTTGAATCAAATCTTTCTGTTAAACAAATTGGGGAACTATTCAGGTGGAGGCTAATAATTCAGGAGGGCTAATAATCCCGACTTCAACTGTATGTAAATATGTAATTTACTACAATTGTGCTGGATAAGTTTAAAAGAGCATCTGGAAAGTGCTTGAAAGTGTTCAATTAAATTTTTTAAGAACACTGCACTGAAATCTTGTTTGCAATTGTCCTTGTTTCTCCCCCTTAAAAATGTCAGGTATCACTTGAAAGATGTAATTGTGGGAAAGATCTATTTCCTTTTGGTGAGAATTAAGATCAAACACATGGAAATCGATATTATTAAACGGGAGACGACGGGGACGGGGCCAAACGTGTACCATGAGAATGACACCATTGCAAAATATGAGATCATGGATGGAGCTCCAGTTCGAGGTATGAAACAGTTTCCTAAATCTTTCTCATGGTTTCTGTTGGATTAAAGTGAAACCTAGTTTGAAATGACTCTGATTTTCTGTGTAGTCCAATTTTTAGCTTTGTCTGTGCTTGCTTTAGGTGAATCCATCCCTATCCGTCTTTTTCTGGCTGGATATGAGATGACGCCCACCATGAGGGATATTAATAAGAAATTCTCTGTTCGTTATTACCTGAACCTTGTACTCATTGATGAAGAAGAGAGGCGTTACTTCAAACAACAGGTTGATATTTACTTTCTTCCAGAGTATCTATATTGTTAATTTTCCACACACTGCTAATTTGATAATAATTTGTCAATAAATAAACTCATTAGTTGTTTATAGTAGAGTGTTTCAAAATTGGTACCCAAAGGGATTAAATTAAAAAGAAAATGTTATTTATAATAAATTAAATATAAGTATATCATTTAAAATAAACAATGACACATTTGAGTAAGATATACATGCTAAAATAAAAGTGAAACATACAAGTAAAATTAAATATTATAAAATATTTCATAAAAGTGCTAAAATATAAGAAATTAAATGTACTATATTTATCGAAATAATAAAATAATTTTAAATAAGCTTAATTTGATTAATTACATCATTACAACATAATCAGTTGTAAATAAATAAAAATAGTACTATAATATTGTGTTGTAATATTATGCCTTAATAAAATAATATATTTTAGATGCATTTATGCAAGAAACTAAATAGATATTTAATGTATTTATAATAATAATAATAATAATGATAATAATAATATTAATAATAATAATTCAAAATGGGGTCCCTTGCACAGGCTTATATGAATAAAAATAATAATAATATTTTAGAATATTATTATATTTAGAATATTAGTCTCTTGCACAAGCTTATTAATAACAAACTAATATTAATAAAAATAATAATATATTAATAATAATATTTTAGATTGGGGTCCCTTGCACAAGCTTATTAATAACAAGCATATATGAATAATAATATATTAATAATCATATTTTAGAATGGGGTCTCTTGCACAAGCTTATTAATAAGAAGCTAATGGTAATAAAAAATAATATATTAACAATTATATTTTAAAATAGGAGTCCTTTGCACAAGCTTATTTCTCATGATGTCCACATTAGATTATTAAATGTGACTTATGGTTTTAAAACCAGCTATCGGTTTTATTTTTTTCCATTCAACTATGTGGCCTTGACGCAATGCTATTAGTCAGATGTGACTGATTTTAAACAAAATAATTTTATTTTAATGTATGTGCTTAGTGTTTATTTTAATATAATAATATATTGACTTTGATCATGTCTAAAACATGATCATTTTTGAGCATTAACAGGTTTTTTTTATGTGTGTGTTTTTTGTGTATTTTAGGAGATTACACTATGGAGGAAGGGAGACGTAGTGAGGAAGAGCATGTCTCATCAAGCTGCCATTGCCTCTCAGCGCTTCGAGGGCTCAGAGAAAACACTTCCTCAAGCGAAAGAGGACAGCAACTAAACCTAATCACGTCAGCTCATCATCTCAAGTGTGTGTATGTGTTAGAGAAAGAGAGAGTGTGAGTGTGTGTTTATAGATTTAAAGAAAAAAGTGTGCTCTTAATATAGACTGGGCAGCGTAAACATTATATTTCACATTCCTAAACATTATAGTTTATGATCAACAAGTAGCTTTTAAAAAGGGATGAATGTGAAAAGCGAAAACACTGATTCCAAAAAAAAAAAAAACATTCAATATTTACAAGTTTTCCCTGGCGGTTCCTCTGATATTGTTTACTTTTATTTCCGCCACCCTGGAATGAATTCACTCTTTATTTAAATCAAACATTTCAAGTTTCACATTCCACTCGTTATATTCCACCTACAGCCTTTTTAAACTTCTATAATGAATGTTATTGTGGATTTTTCATTATATATACGTAGCTTACAGTGTTCAGTTTCAAATGCTATTTAACAAAGTCATATTTTTTTGTGATTATTCTTTTTTTTATATACGATTTGCTCACCGATACATGCCTTTTTTACTTTTGTTGCCACTCCCGAAAATAAATTATAAGCACTTCAGGGGTTTCACCAATGCAATTTCAGTGTCTCCGGAACCCTAAAATAGTTTAAACATTTCTGTTTAAATTTAACTAACAAACCAAATTAATTCCCCTATATATATGTAGCTGAACTGAATTGCACCTGAATTCTGTTTTTAACATATGATGCAGTACCTTGATAACTAGCTTGCCATGTTTTTTCTTTTAAATGTAGAACAATAAATACAATTTATTCAGTATTATTGCTATTGGCGTTGGTTATGGGGAATTTAAAATAAATTGTTTGATGTTGTTGGTAACACTTAATAAGGTACAAAACGTTCATGAACTAACAATAGATGTATTCAAAATCGCTCCCTATAGTTTTAAATAGTGCATTGTATTGGTGTCTGAAACTATGAGAGGGGTCTGGATGCAGACCTGGTGCAGTGCAATCGGAGCTGTATCCAATGTTTTTAATGCGCCCACCTTACCCTACCCATCACAGTGACATCACTCACTCCATTGAGTGCATTGAGTCTGAGATTGCATCGCTGAGTGATGCAATCTCAGCTTGCATCATAAAGGCTGCATCCAGATAATATTGGAAACTATAGTGCTCTAAATCAATCCCACAATGCACCACAATAACAAATGTACAACCAATGTACACTCAGTGGCTAGAGAATACCCATAATACACTTAGATTTCATAAGGCAAACTTCTGCGTCTGACCACAAGATAGCATAGAAAGCGTAATACTAATGGTATAATTTTCTAAATAAATTAATTTGTTTATTCATTTTCCTTTGGCTTAGTCTCTGATTTATCAGAGTTCGCCACAGTGGAATGAACCGCCAACTATTCCGGCACATGTTTTACGCAGCAGATTCCAGCTGCAACCCAGTATTGGGAAACACGCATACACACTCATTCACACACACAGTCTCATACACTATGGCAAATTTAGTTTATTCAATTCACCTATATTGTCTTTGGACTCTGGGGGAAACCGGAGCACCTGGAGGAAACCCATGCGAACACTGGGAGAACATACAAACTCTACATAGATATGCCAACTAACCCAGCTGGGACTTGAACCGGCGACCTTTTTTTCTGTGAGGCAACAGTGCTAACCACTCAGCCAACGTTCCATCTTTCAAGAGTTCACACTTAGATAATGCTCGACTATAATAGCAGGTTTGACATGCTGTCCCAGGTCAGCATGAGCCCAAGGTTCCCTCCTGGTAAATGAGCATTAGGAGGATACAAGATCAGGTATTTTTCGAGAGCCCGCGGTTCATTTTTACCCATACCTTGGTTAAGATGGTGGTTCTATAAGAATCATTTTAGTATGCGTTAAGTGCTTGAAACTGTTATTACAATTCGTTTATGTCACATGTTTATAGACTGTGGGAGGAAACCGGGGAAAACTCACGCGAACACGGGGAGAACATGCAAACTCCGTGCAGAGAGTGGCTTCATTAGAACTTGAACTATTGGCCCTCCCGCTGCGAGGCAGCAGAGCCAGGCTCTGAGCCGCCTTGTCGCCCGATCTTAGAATTAATGAGGAGGGAGAAGGGAAGGAAGGGGGGAGGGGGTGTTCCAAAACAAAGATCAGGAATGAAGTTTTATAGTAATTTTGGATTTATCTGATAGGCTAGCTAATGATTAGCGATAAGGACCAGCTGTAGTCAATCATATAACGTGCTCCTCGAAATCAGTTTGTGAAACTACACTTTGAATTAAATTATTGAGTTATTAAATTAACATTTGAATACATGGCAAAGTTTGCAAAGTGTAAAAAAAACTAGCACAGTGTCTGACCAAGAAATTTAAAAACTAATAATTTGAGGATTTATCAACCAGCGCCAAACAAAATAGCATCCTTCCAGTGCACTAAGTTCTCGAATTCACTCGCTAGTTTTTATTCACTACTTTAAGTGAACTAATGTAGAGAATAGTGAATGAGGGTATAGGGGGCGATTTTGGATACAACCAATTAACTATTTTTATTACATTCTTTTAAACATTATTAGTCTTAATTAAATGTTTAGTTTAAATGTTGTTTTGTTGGACTATAAGTAACTTAAAGCTTCAAGTCAATATTAGAATTGTTTTAAGAAACATTTCGATTTTTTTGTTAGAAACGTTTCAACATTGTAAACAGTGTTTATTTATGACTTAAATATTCTTATTTTTAAATGTTTCTGTTGGCCAGTAATAACTAACATGAATACGAGCCAGTTTCAATGTCAAAATGAAATTAATGAATGCTGTTCAAATTGACCAATAATGACTAACATTAGCATATGCCACTTTTAGCGTAAAAATGAATTTGTTCAATGTTAGTTCTAGTAACTATGAATAAACCTTATTGTAAAGTGTTACTAACTTGTCATAGGCTTTTTTGATGCTTAAAGCGATAGTTCACACAAACGGAAAGTTCTGTCATCATTTGCCTACCCTTCACTTCTGCCAAAGCAGTTTAAATTTCTTTACTCTGTTCAAGACAAAATAAGATATTTCGAAGAAATCTGAAAACCTGTAACTATTGACTATAGAAGAAAAGACTAATACTATGAAGTCAATACTATTTTTAGCTTATTTGCTGTTCAACCTAAAAAAGGAACTCATGCAGGTTTGCAGCTACTTCAGTATAAGTAAATAGTGAGTAAATTTTCATTTGAGTGAACGATCCCTTTAATGTTGTTTAATTCTTGTCATCATTTCTCAAATGCGTTTGTCTTATTTTTGTTCTCGTTTTTACTGACACTGGAGATCAACTCTCATAGCAGCGCATCTTAAAGTGTGTGATCAGGATGAAAAGCAGAAGTATTAGCACTTAGCATAATATAAGGGTTATATGGTCTAGAAATGATTGCAGTCTTGTTTTTGAGATTGCAGGCCCATTACAGTGGTGTTTTGTTACGGTCGTGATTATTTCTTGTCATATTAGAGGTGATTATCTGTTTAAAATACAAGGATACATCCTGTCATAATTATCTGCCTTCTATGAGACTGCTATTTCACAATATTGGTCTTTTATTAGTACTTCTAGTGCTGTTTAATGGTTAATTGCGGCTAATCACAGACAAGATTAAAGTTGCCATTGACATATTTTTGTGTACTGTGCTTTAGGAGAAGTTTAATGAAAGATTTGTTTAGTGGTGGAAAGAAGTTTGGTGATGATTCACTTTAAATGTTGACTATATATATATATATATATATATATATATACACACACATATATATATATATATATATATATATATATATATATATATATATATATATATACACACACACACACACACACACATATATATATATATATATATATATATATATATATATATATATATATATATATATATTTACATCCATCCATGTTTATACATGAATAGAAAATGTTTATTTTTATGTAAAAGTGATATATAAATATTAAAATATCACAATTTTTTAAGTATGTACATTTATGTTGATGTATTTATAAATACATAATACATATAAACTTTTATTTTCTGTGTGATTAGTCACTATTAATCATCAAAAAAGCACTACTTCCTTACCTGAATCACCTAAATAGAAATAAATAATTTCGGTAGAGAATGAATATTTCCTGAGATTTAGATCTGTGCTGTTTGAAAAATGATCTTGACATGCTGATCACACACTAGACTCTGGATATTGCCTTTTTTCCCCACATTGCCTGTATAGGAATCCTTGCTAGTCCAGTCACCGAGGGCTAAAGCTCATATTTCTAAGCGTAAGTGACATATTGGCAGGAAACTCATGGCTCCATGTGGCAGGCTGTGTTTACTGACTTCACTTGTATGATTTTTACAAATTAGCACTGTGTATCTTTTCAACTAGAACAAAGAACTAATTGTTTCCTAACTTTCTTCACATTTACCATCTTGCAAACAAATAAAGTGCTGCTTCAAACAGCATTAGATAACCATATTTCTATATTAATATTATGTATGTACAGTATATATATTTGCAGAATTGTAAGTATATGATTTTGAAATGATTTAGAAAGTGCTCTAAGGTACTATCAGAGTTTACAAAAGGCATTGTTGAAGATTTTAGAACTGTGCTAATGTAAAATAGGAGTGCGGAACACATGATCTAACTGCTTTTTTCAGTTCTTGTGCTGTATATGACATTTGTTTTTACTCTAATTCCTCAGATTAAAATGAAACAATGCTCATCTTTTCCCTCATGGAAGATTCAGCGTGTTGTGTGTCTTTATTTTGTTAGCAATGGAACTGTTTGAAAATATACTTATGTGCTTATGGTTTTGTAGTGCTGAAAATTTTTTTTATTTTGTTTGTTTGTTTGTTTGTTTTTAAGATAAAAACTAAAATTTCAAATGACATGTGGGTCTTTTTATTAATCAGAACAATAGAAGTATAACAGAAGTATTTTAATACCCCCACCCACACCTGTACATTAGAAGGTATATTAGGTTTCTGTTGACATTTTATTCTGTGAAAAGAAATTATATATTTATATAAATTATATATATATATATATATATATATATATATATATATATATATATATATATATATATATATATATATATATATATATATATATATATATATATATATATATATATATATATAATTATTTATTTTTTGTCATGCTTTATTGAGACATTTACAGAAAATATAATATATATTATTATATAAT